TAACGGAGGCCAGGTTGGTTATATATATATATATATATATATATATATATATGTATATATTTATATATTTATATGGTTAAACTTACTTAATTTTTACGTTATTTCTTAAAACAAGCAAATGTTTGTGTCTGTCTAGAAAATGCTTCTTGATTTAAATTTCTTGATTATATTTCACCTAGAAACAATATAAAAACTCAAAGTAAGAAAGTTTGCAGTGATATAGATTTAAAACCGATTTCTCCCAGTGTAGTGCAAGTTACCACAGTCCTCCTCCATTTCTAACTGCTAAATCATCCTGATATTATGGTTAACAATGAGCTAAATGTCAACTTGCTGCGGAACAGAAACTAAACAGGATAAAGTAAAACAACAGACGAGAATACAAAGAAAACAAAGATCAGTTGAAGTAGTGAAAAACAGAGCTGAGAAATCCATTATGTGAAACTACGAAAGCATCCTGAGTTCACCAGGTATATTCTAAAGAAGTCCTTTTTGTTAGTTTAAACCTGGTGGACCAAAAAAAAAAAAGCAACTTCCTCAAAATCCGATAAATCCGTGATTTTCCGCCCTCAACCAATCCGTTTGAGGCTTGTGCCCTTAAATAAAACACCTTCAATATGAAGATGAGGAATAAGCACAAAAAGTAAATCACACGCACAATAAAACATCTGCTAGCATCGGAGGGATTTTTTGCGCGAGCCTGTCCACGCGCTTAGCGAATTTATATTCACTTTTAGTCCATTTTTTTGTCTTTATATTCAAGTTATGTGTATCTATTAAAGGAGTATCTCATCCATACACCACGTCCGTCCAGGAGAGTCCATCCCTCAGAGTCAGTTTTCAGGGAGAAATGCATTATTTGGAGATTTGGGCCAATCCCGGCTAGCCTCCCCAAAGCAAAAAGAAAGAAAACATCACACGCGCGCATGCAGTCGCCAAAAAAAACACCTCATCCCGAATGAATGCATGGGATACGGGCTATCCGTCCATACAAAATAAGTACAAAATTATCTTATCTAATCCTGGCGGGTGTAAAATAATGCGGGGAACAAAATGGGAAAGAAAGAGTTGTCCGAGGCACTGCAAGCCAGTTTCATCCGATTAGTGGAGATGATCTGGGTGGGTGAGGGGAGGAGGGTCGTCTTTTAGGTATCTGTAGGAAAGAGTCTCTTCTCAGACCTGGACGGGCAGCGTTTGGTTCATTTGCAGTCTCATGTCTTGAATGCTGCCCAGAATCTTCTTTTGGTGGCCGGCTAATGTCACGCCTATCCGTAACAGATCTCTGTCGAGAAAACAAACAAAAAGAGACACTTAAACAAGCCATCTAAACCTAGAAACAAGTCAAATTATCATCCAGCACACTGTGATGTTTGGCAAGATATTCTTGAAATAAGGAAACCTGCCTACGCTGTAATCAGGGCTTGACTTTGCTAAATGCGGGTAGATTTTAGCTGTGGCGGGCAAGACAGACACTCCCCTAGCCATTTTGGCTGGTTGAAAATAATTTCCCCTGGACAATAATACTTAAAAGCAGGGTTCGACAATAAGGATGGTCCAATACGCATGCAAAGGCGATCTTAGAATGGACAAAACTAATAGCGTGAGCATGAGAAAGCAGGTAAATACCAAATGAGAGGATAATCACTCACGCTAACAGCTGTGGTGATGCACGACACTGTTTAAAATGCGTGCGCGCTCCCGTTTCCTTGCGTGAAGCAACTAGAAACACAACTGGGGTGATCGGGTCTCTTTCAAATAGACTAAACAAAAAGTTATGCTCCCGCACCCACAGTCTTGCTGCTTTCAAGAGCTCCAGATTTGTCATTTTGTAAGCTTTCGCTTAAACCATTCTTTGAACAGATTATTTATGGGTCTCACGTTAACCTTTAGTGATCATCCTTTCATTATCATACAATATTGTTTTTAATCTGCTTTCTTTTGCGTTAATTATTATTTTTCACAATAACATTGCTTTAATGGGAGATTAATTCCCCGTTTAAGTGTAGTTAACTTGTGATCTGGGACCTTTAGCCAGGACAGATACCTGTGCATATGTTTTGTTAAATAAAAAGTATAGTATACAGCTTTATTTTGCTTGTTTTGATACATTTACAATTTTTGGCTACGAAATAATTATTCATTTATGTTTGGAGATAAATTTGGTAAATCCTTCATTTTGAGCTCTTAAAATTATGTGAAATAAAAACTGTAATACTATGAAACCATGACCTATTTGCGCATGATTATTGAGCAAGCTCAAACTAAACTAAACTGTACGCTTCTCATATTTTTTATGAAAAGGTCTTAAAAAAAACAAAAGAATTTCCCTTACTTTAAGAATTGTTATTATATATTCTGTCTTAAAGACAAATGGTTTAAACTTTAAACAAGACGACTGTATGAAGTAAATCAGGATCATACGTGCATGGATATATTTGTAATAGTGAATACATAATTAATACTTAATTTTGTACTCAAATGTGCGACTTGAATGTGTCCGATCAAAAAAAAAAAAAAAAAAGGACCCACTTTATATTAAGTGTCCTTAACTACTATGTACTTACATGAAAAAATAAATACAATGTACTTACTGTGTTTATAAAGTATTTGAGAACACTTGTAGTGCTCTTGAGTTGGGATAGGGGTTGGGTTAGGGACAGGTTTGGTGGTGTGGGTAGGTTTAAGGGTGGGTTAAGGTGTAGGGAATGGTCATCAGTGATTTTACAAATGTAATTACAGAAGTTAATTACAGATGGAAATATATAGAGGTATTTAATCAAGTACACAATAAATACATGTATTTACACAATAAGTACATTGTAACAAACTATTAATTTCTGTGTAAGTACATATTAGTTAAGGCGACTTAATATAAAGTGGGATATATAAGGTCTTTTGTCACAAAGAATAAGTAAGATTTAGATTCTCTCAATCTTTTTTTTTTTTTTTGGTCAGCAAGCTACATTACAATTAAATAAAATCTTTAAAATAAAATTATGGCCTTAAATTATGTCTCAAATTGTTATTTAGCTAAATTTGCCAGTAAAATACCTAACCTTAAACTGCACTATAAAATTCCCTCTTCATCATGATGATCTTACACCAGGGGTGTCCAAACTCAGTCCTGTAGGGCCGGTGTCCTGCATAGTTTAGCTCCAACTTCCTCCAACACACCTGCCTGGAAGTTTCTAGTATACCTAGAAAGAGCTTGATTAGCTGGTTCAGGTGTGTTTAATTGGGGTTGGAACTGAAATATGCAGGACACCGGCCTTCCAGGACCGAGTTTGGACACCCCTCTCTTACACCATCTGCTCTTGCGTAGTATTATAATCTTAAAAGAAAATTTGGCTACAAGTGAGATTGTAGGCTAACACTTGACTAGATATGGAGTTTTTGCAGTCGACCACATGATTTCTACAAGAGAGAACAGAATTGAAGTCATTCAAGACTCCCATGGGAATGTAGCCAGGTGAGTTAATCCGTTAGCAAATTGTTGCTAGTTTGAGCAAACAGACACAACCCCACCCTTTGGCTACTGAACTGAGACGGGTCTGTGGTGTGCGAAGCCAGTTCTCAAACTTGAGACTTGTTAAGAATTCGGTCAATGATTTGCGAAGTTTTGCACCTAAGGCTACCAGGTGTCACATTTCGCACGAGGAAATCGCTATTAGCATAACCACAGACATGACTTGGAGTACTGTTGCACTGCACAAACCGAAAGTCATTATACTGTCGATTGAGTGTGGTGTAAAGGTTACCACAAGCTTTATGATAAAAATGCTTCCTGTTGTTTTATTGGCTTGGGTAATCTTATCCGTTCCTGGGGTTTAGTTTACACAGCAACATGCGTAGCTAAAAGCTAGCACAGTCTCCTGTTTACTTTTTTGTACCTTCTGATAAGCAAATGCCTGCAGGAGGACAGACGTTGTCAGGGAGCAACTGGCCTCGTGGCGGCCCCCAGTCTGTCTGCCCTTCTCATCTCTACAATCGCACAACATTAGCAGAGTAATTTCATACAGCGCGAAAGTGTTTTCTCTCTTTTTCCTCTGTTGGTCCCATCAAGCTAACAATGTTGGATGAAATGATAATAAATGGAGCCCATTAGGAGAATTACTAGTCATTAAGAGCACGAGAAAACCAACGACTGGTCCACCTGTCAAGTTGCCAAATTGAAACAAATTACCCCAGCCTCCGTCCTTTATTACGCTTTAATGGGTGTGATGAATTTATAATTATTTTCCTTATTAGTTTATTTGATCCCAACTGCTCTCTTCACATCTGTCTAGTCGTTTAACACAGAGACAAATCGTGGATTTCGTTTTTTGACAGTGACCTTTGGGAAAATTCCTTGTTCGTGACATTTTCGGAGGATGAAATGCTAACGTCAACTAAAAGCGAGATTAGGGAAATTATCACATGCTCAAAAGCTTGATCGCTAACTCTGTTCTGATCAATAACGTATCGATTTTTCAGTTTGAGACTCATTGTCTCTTCATTTCCTACTGAAGTTCTGCTGTTTTTAGGCTGACTAAAACCCACGTCCCAAGCTGTATTTTGAAAATAAGCCTTACTCATCATTTTCTTTTGAAGAATTAAAAGTTGAGCCATCGGTTGCAACCATATTCCCTGCTGAAAAATCCAGCTTAAACCAGCCTAGGCTAGTTGGCTGGTTTTAGCTGGTCGACCAGGCTGGTTTTAGAGGGGTTTTTGGCCATTTCCAGGCTGGTTTCCAGCCATTTCCAGCCTGGTCTTAGCTTGTCAGGCTGGGAAATGATCAGCTAAAACCAGCTAGACCAGCCTAGAAAGGCTGGGAGCCCAGCTAAAACCAACCGTGTCCAGCTTAAACAAGGCTGGTCAAGCTGGTTTTAGCTGAATTTAGCTGGTCATTTTCCAGCCTGACCAGCTAAGACCAGGCTGGAAATGGCTGGAAACCAGCCTGGAAATGGCCAAAACCCCTGTAAAACCAGCCTGGTTGACCAGCTAAAACCAGCCAACCAGCCTAGGCTGGTTTAAGCTGTTTTTTTACAGTAGAGTAAACATGGAAACAAATGGAGCATTCCAACAAATGGACCAAACACTCACTCTGCAGTCATCTGGGCCACCAAATCAAAAGAGGCAAAGCCAGCATTGAGGAAGTTGTCTCTGTAGCGGCTCATCTTGATGGCATCCAGCCAGTCACCCACAGTGGTAAAGGTGGTGTAGTCAGGCACACAGCGGTCGAGGAGCGGCTGGGAGGCCCTACAGGGAAAGAGAGGAGTGGAGATAAAAAGAGAGAGAGAGGGTTAGGTCACGCCAGGCCTCCACCACCGAAACCTCACCCCCAAACCCCCCACCACCACCTCTCCAGGCCTGTAGGGCCTTTAACCTGCCACTGTGGCTCAATGGCTGGAGACATGCAGTGGCCTGCCAGAGAGAACTTGAGGGAAGCTGTGGGAGTGGGTCCAACAGTTTCTTGACTTAATACGTGTTACCTAACATGTTTATCAACATTTGTATGGTCCAATACATATTTTAATACAAAATGTCCTTCTTATGCATGACATGATATATCCAAGAAGGACTTACATTCTTTGCAGGTCCTATTAGGTAAATCCCTGCTTGCACCCAAGCAAGATCCGTTTTGCACTTATAGCACAGCTACATTTAAAAGCATGCACAAAAGAGGCCGTTTTAAATTAGATCAGACTAAACCAACAGAGACCAGACTTGATCTATGCCCAGATTTGGGTCTTAATAACTAAGAGTGAGGTCTGAGACAAAGTTTCAGAGCAAAGACACTCCTGTCTGCAAGCTCTCTGCTCTGCTGAACCTAGCTGTCTTTTGATGGCATTAGATTAATTAACAATTAAAAGCATAAGAAAAAAGTTAATAAGAACAGAACAGAGGCTCTATTGAGGACGAGGCCTGTAGATGGATGGGAAGAGTGATTTTTAATAAGCTCCTGCCTTTAGGGCTGAAGGGTTTGTGGTCATTAACCTGGAAGGCAGCATTTCTTAATGGAGCATTGTTAGAGCTGGCCTGGCTCTCACGTCTTTGGGACGTTGACTTTAATTGCAACACAGGGAAACTGTACGAAGAAACCAAAAGGACAAATATCCCTGCATAACTACTATCAACTCAGCGTTAGGAGAACCCACTGACTAATTAAACCATCCAAAGTTTAGTTAAGGAATGGGTCACTGACAAAAGTACAAGTATCAGATGTTGAAACAACAATTTCCCATCTCTCAGTCTTTCATTAAGCTCAGCAGGCAAGCCACCTCTCCGTTGGCCCTTTTAAAATCTCGTTACTTGCTAATTAAAGCCATTCCCATCTCTGAATTGCATTAACTAATTATTCTTCCTTTATCCTCTGATCACTGCAGAGCAGACAATGCGTCGCCTACTGTTTCCTCATTGTTAAAAACCTTCCCCCAGGACCTACAGCCCAGAGGTAGGCACCCCGAGTTGGGTCACAACCCCCCTGCAGCTTATGGCTAACAAATACTGTCCAACTGAAACAAAGTCTGCCCAGAAATGCTGATCAATGAGCAGAATGTTGCTATATAGTCGATGACATCTAGAATTCGGCTTACATCATTAAATATCTGAAACTCAAAGGGCTCTAGTAAGTATAGACCCGAGCAAGCATCTCATGCAAAACAATCGATAGCCCTGTTATGGTACAATTAAACCAAATGTTTTATTGACTGAAGGTCATCTTAATTTCCATAACGTCAGAGTTTCTCAGCTTACAGTATTGTTAGTCAATTGAAAATGATCTAAAATCAATAGTCTCTTAATTCAAGTGCTTCAGTAATGTTGGCCTAATTTTGAATTTGTAATAGGAGAAGTAGTTTGAACTCTTTTATGCTGCTTATTTAGCTGAGAGGATTGAATCATAGTAGTATGTTGGCTAAGTCAGTCCTTGTGTGCCCTTACCCAGAATGTGTGCTGGTGACCACCTTAAGGCTGGCGGCATTGCGAATTAGCTTGTCCAGGGTGTTGACTATCTGAGAAAACTTAGGTCTCAAGTTTCTTTCTTTCACCCAGCAGTCTAGCATGAGTTGATGCAAGGCAGTAGGGCAGTCCATGGGTGGGGGCAGTCGGTAGTCCTGTTCAACTGCGTTGATCACCTGTTGATGGAAAAAATAATAATCGGCCATTGTTTACACCGACATGAAGTTGAATAGAGGCAAAGCACTTCTAATGAAGGAAACTCACATCTTGATTGCTCATGTCCCAGTATGGCCGCTCGCCATATGACATCACTTCCCACATCACAATGCCATAGCTCCAGACGTCACTGGCTGAGGTGAACTTCCTATAAGCAATAGCCTCTGGGGCTGTCCAACGAATTGGTATCTTCCCTCCCTACAAGTGCAAACCATGATAATTACCTTCAACTAGACATTCTTATGAAATATTAAAGAATGAAGATGTAAATGCTTACCAATGAGCTGGTGTAGGTGGGGTCAGTGGGGTCATCCTCCAAGAAACGAGAAAGGCCAAAGTCTGACACCTTACACACCAGGTTGCTGTTGACCAAAATGTTACGAGCCGCCAGATCTCGGTGCACATAGTTCATGTCAGAGAGATACTTCATGCCAGCAGCAATTCCTCTCAACATACCAACAAGCTGGATGACTGTGAACTGTCCATCATTTAGCTGTAGAAGAAAGTGGGAAAATCACAGACCCATTCATAACAAAAATATTCAACTTTGTTGAAAGAGTAAACTTTCCAGAATGTGACTCATCAGCCAGCAGAATAATGTCACAAAAAGGAACTACACTATTTGTGAACAGGCTTCAGGAAGTTAAGGACATTTTTTCAAAGAACTAGGCAGGATAATCTATTTTATTTCAAAATAAACAAATGACTAAAACTTTATTTACTTCCTCATGAATTTAATGAATATCAACAAATGCTCTCAAGGAACGTTTAAAAGGATAGTAAGCAGTACTAACCCGGAGAAAGGAATCCAGTGCTCCGTTCTCCATGAACTCAGTGACGATCATGACTGGGCGACTTTTCGTCACCACCCCTTCCAGGCGGATAATATTAGGGTGATCGAACTGGCCCATGATGCTGGCCTCACTCAGGAAGTCTCTTCTTTGACGTTCTGTATAGCCTGCTTTTAGTGTCTTGATGGCCACAATGATCTCACGCCGTCCAGGGAGCTTCAATCGGCCACGGCACACCTCTCCAAACTCTCCTACATTGGTAGTAGATAGACAAGAAAGAGGAAGAAAGGGTGGAGTGGACAGAGGAGAGGGAAGAGTGGAGGAGTGTGGGAGAGAAAGGGGAGAGGGACAGTTACTGGTTAGAATCAAGGAGCCAGGGGGAAGCGGGGGAGAGACAGCAAGAGAAGCCAGGGCTAAAGGTGATGCTATTGGAGTGTATCCAGGGGTGAGGGAAGGGGTAGTGTGAGGTCAGCAATGCTTAAATTGGAAAGGCTGTTGAACGGTTGTTGGGGGTTGGGGTACCAAAAAGGAAATGGGTAAAGTAGGGAAACAGAGGAAGGGGTAAAGGGCAGAAGCAGTGGATGCTAGGGTGTGGAGGGAGTGTGGGTAGACATGTAAGAAGAAGGTGGGGACAGAAGCTTGGGAGGATTGGACGGCTTGTGTCTGTAGTCTAAGCCAACATGTAAGCAAGTGCAAGAGAAACAGAGGGATCAGGGAAGGACATGGCAGGGTGTTGATCACTTTAGACAAAAGCTAAGAAACAGCAGGTTCAGGTAGCAGCGTTAGATGTTAAAAGCCTTGTTTGTTGGAGTCTCGCATGAGACTACTCAACTCCATTCCATAACAACATGGCTTCTTACTGAACCAGAATCCTACTTTTCCTTCATTTTTAAGACTTAAAAACTATATTGCTAGCACTAATGCTATGATCCATACATTTTACAACACAAAAGGGAGTGATCTTAAGGACAGGAAGGAGCACCATGGATGGAGAAATCAACAGGTCATAGGGTCAGGAGGACAATTAGTTGTCCGAGAGATGTCGTCAGGCTCAGGACAGGCTTGGTAAGTTAGCAGGAGTGGTAGCTCTATTGTTAGCTCTGAAGGTAACCTCAGAAGCTCCATTTTGTAAGTAAAGCTGTTAGAGACGTTGGTAAGGTGCTATAAGGGACTGGATTTTGGAGCGGGATGAGTTGATTTAAGTACCGCTTGAGGTGAAGTCCTCTAAAGGTATGGCCTGGGTGTGCCTAGCTGTCTTCCCCCTGTTGCTCAGGAGCTTTTGGTGTTGGTTACCTGCGCCAATGACCTCCTCGATTTTCACACAGGACACGTCAATCTCTTTGGCAAACTCGCGGATGGCCTCATTCGGGTCCTCGTAGGTGAATGGGTCAATGTAGACCTTCATCCCCGGAGTGACTATAGGGGATTCAGTAGTGCGAATAACCATATGAATCACACTGCCATGATATGCAATATTTGCAGTATTGTTAAAGATCAGATCGCAAATAAACTCAAGAGAGACTTACTGTATTGTTGCAGCTTTTCTGTGTATTCAGATTCTGAGCCATTACGTTGCTTCCTGTGAACCAAAGACAATGCAGTCATTTACAAAAGGTTGATGACAGACTAACTGAATATAGGGAAATACGCGTTTTCTAAAGGACCTGTTTTTCCCAGCCCCTTCAGGGACATAAATTGAGGTCAATTCAAGAAGGGGAGTGATATGAAAATTAAGAGAACAACAGATTCAGCCTCCAGAGACCCCTGTCATTTCAGCTGACTAAATGGTAGAAGTCGAATCTACATGAAGACAGCTAAGAAAAACAGAAGCAGCGTTGTTGTCTTGTTCTCGTTACAAGAATCTTCACTGCTTCATTCTTTACTTAATTCACGTATCCCAAATCCTTCTTTAACACTTTCTCCACTATCAGTCCATTAAAAGAAATGCAATTTCAACAATCCCAACCCCCCTCTAGTACATGTTAATGCAATCCCTTTGTTGTCTAACTAGTAACCGGGCCAATAATACCCGCTGGTGATTTGTATCTCATTTCCAATTCAAATTCAGTTCCGGAATATGCCAAGGCCTACAAGTTAAGATACTGAAACACACTGTGTGATTGGAAAGAAAGAGAGTGCAAATTGAGAGTTTTAGCATGATAAGGCTTTAAACACACAGATGGCTTGCCCCTCAACTGGAGTGATGGGAAGATGGCCACAGGATGGAAAGTGACTTTGCCAACAATCACCAGCACGCTGTGGAATTCCAATATAGGGCACATGTACATTTGAGACCACTGGCTGCAGTTTACAAGATCCAAAATTACTGACAACCCGGAATGAAACTGCTTCTCATAGTGCCCGATACTACATCTATTAATTGACATTGGCATTATGGGTGACCTAAATTACACACTCATTTAGAGATATTTGTTGTTTTATAGGTATACCTAGTACCTATTAACATCTAGTTGCATATACAGTAGTTATAAATGCAGCAAAAGTGTTGTTTACCTCAGGCAGACAATGGCAATAACCACAACAACAATGATGAAGACCAGTCCTGCGGTCAGAGAGCCCACAATGAGGGGTAACTGCTCCTGTAGTGCCTTGTCTGCATCAGCTGTGTGATGGAAACACAACATATATTCCTCATATCTATTTTCATATAGCATTTCTTGGACTACTATAGGCTGATTTATACTTCTGCATCAAGCGCACGTGCATGGTCCGGTGCAGCCTTCACTTGGTCGAGTAACCAGCGTCATCGCAATGACGTGTAGCTCTAGCTCTTTGATTGGTTGGCTTGGTGGCTCTGCCGAACATGGGCGGTGCTGAGAGTCAAGAGTCCGATGGAGTGAATGTTTACAAGCAGGGGTCACCAATCTTGGTCCTGGAGGGCCGGTGTCCCTGCAGGGTTTAGCTCCAACTTGCCTCAACACACCTGCCTGAATGCTTCAAGTATACCTAGTAAGAGCTTGATTAGCTTGTTCAGGTGTGTTTGATTAGGGTTGGAGCTAAAATCTCCAGGACACCGGCCCTCCAGGAACAAGCTTGGTGACCCCTGGTTTACAAGTGTCAAGACCCGTGAAGGAGCTCCAGATAGAAACTTTTGTTTTGTGTTTACCTTATAATTAAAGTTGTTGGACGTTTGCCATTCCCACCTCTGAATGAGCGAGCTTTAGCTACTTGTAACAAGTAAAAACTAATTACCCATGAAGAATTTAACACTGAGGAACAAAAAACCTACTGTCAGCTAGCATTTCGGAAGTGTTATTGCAGAGTAACACAAAAGCATGCAGAACTATACATGTACGACGCATTGAAGGTACCGTGGGTCAGGTCGATCACTCAATGCAGAAGTATAAACCAGCCCTAATGCAATTAGTCTTGCCAGTATTTTAAGTTTTTCTTACCTTGATGGTTGGTGCCAAAGTCTGTTGGGCTACTGTAGCGGCCATACCCTGCCACCGTTCGGGCTCGGACCTGCACCACATATGGCGTACCCGGCTTCAAACCGTCAATGCGAGCATAGCTGTGCTGGGCTGTCATGGTGTGGGCAATAGCTTCGCCCTGGTCCTGTGGGAACAGTGATAAAACAAGCCATATAAAACCAGCCAGCACCCAAAAGCAAGAGTCTGGCAGCTCTGGTTTAATCTGTCAGTACAACACATCAAACACGGAGCAGATATGCCTGGCCCTTTCTTCTGCTCTATGCAAATCCTCCTGCCTCCATCCCTGCCAAGCTCAGACTGCCTCGCGGTATCAGCGTTCAAAAGAAGGGGATGAATCAAGGAAGGAGTTAGGGGAGGAGAGTGTTAGGTACGAGAGAGAGAGGAAGGGTTGATGCTGTTGTCAGGATGAACGATTATGTACAGAGCAGAGGATGACAGTGGTGGAATTGTGATTGAATGCCCCTCGCTTCATTGACTTACACTGGCTCTTACCTTCTCATGGTATTTAATCTCGTAATCCAAGATGATGCCGTTTGGTTTTTCAGGGGGGAGCCAGGAAAGAGTCATGGTGTTGGCCGAGGCCCCCGTCAGGTGGACAGTAGGAACTGCAGAGGGAGCTGTGTGGGGGTAAATGAGAGAAATCCAATTTTAATGAAAGCATTTTTTTTTTACATTTAGAGCATGCTCACATTCAGGATTACCAAAGAGCTGCTTTGAAGTCTAAGCATCAGACCGCTCTTAGTCCTGGGCCTTTTGGGGCCCCAGCCTCTCGAACTACACAGACAAAATACATTCTGAAGTTTCCTCTGAAAAGGACCATAATAGACAAACCGGCTCAGTATCTGGCAGATCTAGTCCACAAAGCTCACCACACAACCTACACACACATGCAAATATGTGTATGACTGCACACGCCCTCTGTCCCTTTCTTAATCTCTTGTGACTCTGATATGCCACATTTATACCATGTGTTTTCCAAATGTAAAACATGACATATATAGTTGAAACCAGAAGTTTACACTCTAAAAAAAAAGGAACATAACCATTTTTTTTTATGTCTGATGGTAAATCATACTAAACGTTTACTATTTTAGGTCTGTTAGGTTTACCTAAATGATTTACATTTGCTAAATGCCAGAACAACGAGAGAATGTTTTATTTATTTATTTATTTATTTATTTTTATTAATTTCTAGACAGTCAAAAGTTTACACACATTTCCTTGGTATTTTTTTTAGCTTTGTTTTTAAACTGTATAACTTTGGTCAAATGTTTTAGGTATCCTTCAACAATACTATGAAGGAATTTTGGCCCATTTCTCCAGACAGAATTGGTGTGGCTGAGTCAACTCACAAATTTTCTATAGGATTGAGATCAGGGCTTTGTGATGGCCACTCCAAAACATTCACTCAGTTGTCCTTAAACCACATTTTAACAGTATGCTTAGGGTCATGGTCTGTTTGGAAGACCGATTTGTGGCCAAGTTTTAATTTCCTGGCTGATGTCTTGAGATGTTGCCTCAGTATTTCTACATAATGTTCTGTCTTCATGATGCCAGCTATGCTGTGAAGTGGACCAGTCCCCCCTGGAGCAAAACAGCCCCACAACATGATGCTGCCACCCCCATATTTCACAGTTGGGATGGTGTTCCTAGGCTTGTAAGCTTTCACCTTTGTCCTCCAAATGTAACACTGGTCATTATGGCCAAACAGTTCAATGTCTCCAAAAATTATTCTTTTTCCCAGGGTAATTTACCAAATTGTAATCTGGCTTTGTTGTTGATTCTGGCTTGTTGATTTTCCCATGTTGTCACAAAAGGAAGCAGTGTGTTTGAGCTTTTCCTTAAATGCTATTCTACAGTTGTGCCTCCAATGTTGTCAATTAGCCAATCAGAAACTTCCAAAACCTTGACACCATCATCTGAGCTTTTTCAGAGGCAGAATAATCTTATTGTGTGTAAACTTGACTTTTCAAGAAAAGTTATAACAATTTCTCAAAAAATATCTCTCTCATTATTCTGCTATTAAGCATAACAGAGACAAATTTGACAATCCTGACTTACCTAAAAGAGAAAAAGTTTAGTCACATTAACATCTGACTTTTTTTTTAAAATGGTTATATGCCTTTTTCTACAGCGTATGTAAACTTCTGGTTTCAACTGTATGCTTGGTTATTTACTCTAATGTGTAAACGTTACTGTTTTTACTCTATTACTATAAAAAGTATATAAATAATATACATTACTTTGAACCTAATGAATCGCCAATGTGAGAAAAAAAAAGTTAAATGGGTGTATTATATTAAGAAGATTTTTGGATAACACTCAGTTGAAATACGAGCAGGGATTTTTCACCCATACCTTCATGTTCTCACAAGTTCCTCCATAGCACCTAGCTTATCTTGGCACCTAGCTTAACATAATCTGTACTGTCCCCGTTTGTCCTCAGACCTGATGTTGCCGTCTCCAGTTTCTGATGTTATCGCATTCCGTTCGCACACTATAGTAGCTCTTAACATCCCCTACTTTCTTGCCTCTGTCTAGCTCTCCCTTACTCTTTCTTTGTTAAAAGCGTTTTAATCCCCAGGTCCGGTTGTTTGATCCTTTCCCTGCTAGCTCTTTATTATTCTGTCTGTCTCTTTGTCCGACTCCCCCAAAAGCTCACTCTCCCCCAACCCAACACCATCAACCTCCTAACCCAGGCCTCGCTCAGAAAAGCCTCCCCCTGAAGACAATGCTCCCTGGGCAGCCTGCTAGCTTACTCTCACCCCGGGATTAAGGGGCCTTGTCCTGCTGAGACAGTGGACGTAACCATGACGCCTCTTGAGCTAATGGTCCATATTTATTTTTTGTCTTAAAAGGCGGATGAATATTCAGCCACAGTCCTAGGAGATAATCTGATCACAGACCCTCATGAATTTTTTGAACCATGGGGGTGGGCTGCCGTGTGGGTGTGCATGTCACCCCAGGATTGACTCATGTGCAACATGAGCACGGGTCATATTACAATGCCTGTGGTCAATCCCTGATAGCAAACACAGGCATTCTTGGAGCAAGGCGCTAGCATTAGAGTGCTAAGTAGAGGGTTAAGCATATGCATGACTCTGAGAGCTATCATGAGAAGTCCAGTGCTGTTAAGTCAAAACTCGAATCACACAATATAACGCTTTTACCACAAAGTTAATGCATTACCATATATTACTAACCCAGCACACTCTAGTCTAGAGTAGCTTAGCTACCAAGCATAATAGTAACACTCTCTGGTGTCAATGTGTTTGAGAGCAGAGCTCTTCGGGTAGTGTTGTGGGTTGAAAGTGTCTTAGGAGAACCCATTACACTTCATTATTTCAAGCCAGAAAGCATGTGCCTTTTAGAGAATCCTTATTGTGACCTATTAGGAATCCAAATTAAAGCTGGCATGAAATCAAAATGTACTCTTCCTACTTTATATTTCTATGTATATAGTAGTGCTTGCTATAAAGAATTAATCACATACCATAACCTTCCCTTTACACTTGAAACAACTTTTCTGTCTCTGATCATGTCCGCTTGTAAAGTGCGACATCATGTGAAGCGGCTTTCGGGTCCAATCCGCTTGTTAAGTGTGACGTCACGCGAAGCGGCTTCCGGGTCCAAGCGCTCTATTCAACTGAATGGGGAGACTCACGAAATAATAATAATAAACGTTTACAAAGTGATTTAAGGCTTTCGAAAATCACGATCGCAGTATATATGTCCATGCCTAATATCCGATGGCCAGAAAGTGATACATTTTTTATAAATTGTAAAAAATGTGGTATTTGTCATGCAGCAAGCACAGAGATTGTTGTGTACACTATGATTTTATATACAATTAACTTTAATGTGTGATAGGAAAAAAACGTGATCATAAACGAATGATTTCTCTACTCAAATGAGTGGCGGCTAGGACCCGGAAACAGTATACATACGTCACAAACACGTCACCACTTAACAAGCGGATCGCTCAATTCAAACTGAATGGGGAGACTCACCAAAGTGTAATAATAAATGTTTACAAAGCGCTGTAATACTTTCGAAAATCACGATCACAATATATATATATATATATATATATATATATATATATATATATATATATATATATATATATATATATATATATATATATATATATATATATATATATATATATATATATATATATATATATATATATATATATATATATATATATATATATATATATATATATATATATATATATATATATATATATATATATATATATATATATATATATATATATATATATATATATATATATATATATATATATATATATATATATATATATATATATATATATATATATATATATATATATATATATATATATAAATATATATATATATATATATATATATATATATATATATA